ACACACACACACACACACACACAGCGGGGCGGCTACAACCCCACGCTCACCCACGACCAGTAGCACAAGATGGTGAGCAGGGAAAGTTCGCTTTCCTTGGATGGCTGATGAAGAGGTGTCGGACCGTATGCGTGGCTTCACGGAGGTGGTTCCCAATCTGGCGCCGGCCAATACGTTCGTGATGACTTTCACCGGTGCCGGGTTCCCTCGTCCTGTGGGCGCCCGGGTAGTCGCGACATCTCCTGCCCCAAGACTATGGAGTGTTCTCCAGTTTGACGGCACCGGCACCGGCCAGGCGAGCTATGACCTCGGGAGTTACAGTGGGGCTATGTGATCCAGGAGTTCTCCGAGGACTTTGCGAGTTACCTGGAGGACCAGGAGCTGGACCCGATCGAGGTGACGATGGACAAGAACGACAAGAAGAAGCTGAATGCAACCCTCGACGGATCCCTTGGAGGTGTGGAACAATTCTTCGAGATGCATGAAGAAGGAGCTGTCTACCCGGCGCCCGTGGAGAGTGAAACCGACACCCAGACCCAGACAGTTGAGATCTATGGCGCCCGGCGGAGACCACATCCCGCGACATCCGGACGACAGCGTGCGCTACTACCACCACCGCACGTGGATGTGGAGCTCGACCTCGAGTTAGACCAGGAACGGGGCAAGCGAATGTATCGCTTTCTGCCTGTGGACATGGAGATGACCTGGCTGTGTCAGTTGTTGAAGGAGTATGAAGCCACCAGTGAAATGTCGCGCGACCACTACTGCCCAGGCCTTCATCCAAAATGTGCTCTACTACCACAACTCGGTCGTGGAGGAAGGAACATGCGATGGACTGCGGTGATGGTGGCTGAAGGAAAATGGAGGTGGCTGGAGCAAGGCGTCACTGCGAAGTGGTACAAAGAGGCAAGAAACCACCTGGCGGTAATTGTAATCTACCGATGGCCCGAGGCCTCGGGATTGACATGAAGCGGTATATTGATACAACTCTCCCGAGACCGCCTCCGCCAACGTGATGATGCCCCCTTGGACGACAAGGAAGTGACGATGCTCCGGGGAGCTGGTGGTTCCCGGTTGTGGGTTGGTAAAGAATGCCGGCCAGATGTGGCAGCTTCCTGTGCCATGAGCATGTCGTGGGGATCCGATGATCCGTTCATTCGTCATGTGAAAGCCGTGAACAAGACGATCAGCGAGCTGAAACGGACCTCAGAAGTTTTCTTGCGGATCATGCCGAGCTCCTTGGCTGAAGGCATGCGGTTATCCATTTCGGATGCCTCGGTGGCGAACGATGCCGATAAAAGCCAAGGTGGCTTCCTGATTGCCTGTGCGAACACAAGGCTATCAAGGAGGGTGGGATCCATGATTTCAACATCAGCAGCTGGAAAAGCGACCGTGTCAGGCGAGTGGTGAAAGCTTCCCTCGGAAGCGAAGCTTTGGCCATAGATGATGGCCTGGCTGAGTTGGAGTGGGTCCGGGCGATGTTCACCGAGGTTGTGATCCCGAACTCCACCGTGCTCGATGGCACGCGCTTCGGTGACGATGAGTCAGTTGCCATCGTGCGGCAGATTGATCCCTCAGATGTGACCTTTTTGGTCACGGATGCCAGAGCGTTGTATGATGTGTTCCACCACCGCAGTGGGTCAGCCTGTTTGTGCAGGAGGGCCCAGATCGATGTGTCGTTTATGGCCTCGTCGGCAAAGGCTCTGCATGCTGAGGTGCATTGGTTGCCAGGCAAGTACATGCTGGCAGATGCTCTTACCAAGCAAGCAGTACGGTAAGGTGGCATCGCTGAGATCGTGAAGGGCCTGAAGTTGTTCACGAATCCCACAGCAGCCCACGTCCACATTGCGGATCACGCGCTTCAGTGGATAGGTGGGCGTCCCGTCCACGTACCATTAATGTGCAGCAAGGTTTCGCACTGTCGCGAGAATGGTCATTGAACCAAGGACTTTTGGCTGTTTGTTGCTCCACCCTCGGCGCGTGTGTTAAGTTTTAGTTTGCTAAACCGTCCCCTGACAGCCCCCAGCCGTGCGGCCCTGCATGAGATGAGTGCATTATCATCATAATGATAATGCACTCATCTCCTGCAGGGCCGCAGGGCTGGGGGCCAGCATCCAGGAGCCACTTCTCGCGAGACCCGTCGGAATACTTCAAGAATGTCTTGATGGAGAAGTATCCGTACGGCTACCATCCCCGTGGTGTCCCGCGCAGGAAGGACACGCGACCGCGTCCTGGAGAGGAGAGGTGGGCGAGGGAAGACGTAATCCGCATGGGCGAGCACAACGTGTCAGTGCTGCTTGAAGACTTCCGCGCTCAGCACGACGCTATGCTCGATTTCTATGACAACCGGTTCTCAGGAGTCTTCAACAAGGCGACACGGCTGAAAATCCTCGCAGAGCCTGTTGACTTGCAGAAGAAATTCTCCTGGGTCCATGATTCGCAATGCTCCGCTTTGGCGTTGCGGTCGCATGGGTTGCATATCCTCCCCCCTTACGCAAATTGCACACTCACCGATGTTAAACCATGCTGTTACCAGACCTCACCTTTTGGTTTGCTTTTACCCAGAGTGTGCAGCCGCTCCCTCTCTGTTCTTCCCGCTTTGGGATATTGTATCCTTGCAGCCGGCTGATGGATTTGATGTTGCTGAGGGGCAGGGTGGGTAGGGCGTGTTTTAACAGTATCGGGCATGGGAGCATGAGCATGTGGTGTCTCAGTTCGGCAACTGAGGTCAGAGGATTCCGAATTATGGACCGAGATCCTTTCGCAGGTATTCCCGGGCTTCAAGATGCCAGCCTCCTCGAATTCCGCTCAGAAGAAGTGGTACAGTCGCGCATACAAGCCGTTCAAAGGGAACCTCACCTGGACAACCAGGGAGATCACACGCATGTGTGCGACCGAGACCAAGCGACACTTCTACCAAAGAGATCCGCGGTCGCCCTGCCGCTCTGCGTAGAAACAGCCTGGAAAGTCCACCCCCTCATGAACGATGTCTTCCGCATCGAGCAAAGGTAATCTAAAGTCTATTGCAAGCTGTTTGCCATGAGGAGCCCTTTTGCTAGGACCATGTTTTGGGATCACTTTCTGGGATCACTCTCTTGCCCGCTCAGCATCTAGGGCAAAGGGTCAGCTGCGGGTTCATGGTTGACATCCGAATTTTGACGCTATACGCCCCCCCCCAAACCGTCCTTAGCCTTTCCGCCTTTTGAAACGCTTGGTGGATCTTGGAGAGAGACGCTCTGAAGTGCTTTGCAGTTTCATGGTTGGAGTTCCCGTGCCGAGGTCCGGCGCGGAGAGGCAGCGCACCATCGTCTCCAGGCAGTCCAACAGAAAGTGCGAAGATGTTTTCGCCAACGGTGTAGGTTGTTCAGTGCAGGCATAGCGTACCTCGCATCTTGTGCACTGTGGCTTGTGTCTCGCAGTCGGGACTTCGGTTCTGTTCTGGCCGATGCCTGCTAGCTGCGGCGGCCAAGCCTTGTCCACAATTATCCAGAGCATTGCTTGCGATTCACCATGTTGCGATTTGGGTGCTGCTGCTGCAAAACCGCAAACGCCACCCCCTAAACCTAATTAATATTGTCGCCACTGGCAGGCGACGCTAGTCTGGTCTTCGACTGAGACGTGCTTGGCAACGTCGTGTAGGGCGGGCATGTCATCTGTTGAGTTTTATCGTTCGTCGTTTAACGGCTGTGAGAGTCATGGAGAGGAAATCAACGTTCGTCTTTAACACGTCAAGCAGTGTGCTATTCAGAGTCAGTCAATCGCCCGGGCATGGTTGAAGTTCCGTCCTGCAAACAGGATTGAGCTTGTCGTGTGTCTGCAGCGGAGTTTCGTCAGGTGGGCTCAAGCATGCCAGGGTCCGGCAGTCAACACGTGGATGGGGATGCATGGGGAGGCTAAATTTTCAGAATTTTCCAACTTCCCTGTGATCCGGTCGCCAAGGTTGCAGGTGCGGGATTCGGGATGCAACGTGTCATGTTTGCATCCACAGTCAAACAGGAACACGAATGAGCTGTCTGAGCACATTTAGGTAATTTGTGTTTCGGGAAGCTGCCCAAATCTCAAGCACACTGGGTCTCGGGGTTTTCCAGATGTCGCACGGTTGACCTAGTCGGTGGGGCATTGAGGCGCGGCCTCGAGATCCATGCAGAGCTGCAGCTTCTGCTTGGGGCCGAGAGATCTTATACCTGGAACAGAGTCGGTGAAATAGCGACAGAACGAGCCAGCTACAGACGGCCACGGAGCCACGCATGCCTTGTGCTCTTAGAAACACCGTGTTTGCAATTTGCAGTCGACATGGCAAGTCGAGGCCAGGATCTGCGGTAGCAGTTGCTGATGCATGGACGGAGGTGCTATCTGCCAGGATCCCAGCCTGTGCCGGGAGGAGTCGAGAAGGAGAGCAGCCTAGAGCAGCTTAGAGCCGCTAAGCGTGCCCAGGACGGCTTTGCGGATGCCTTGGCTTCAGCCTTGGCCTCCGCGCGGAACCAGCCCTTGGAGGCGCAGCTAAGCGAGAGCCAAAATTGAGCTGAAAGGCGACGGAGGCAGGGCAGGCAGGGCGGCTGTTGCCCCCAAAAGGCACGTAAAGGCCCCTCAAAGGCTCCCGGCTCCCTGCCCGAGCCGGGCCCCCTAGAAAACGCCGAAGAACACTCGGTGCCCCTTGCAGGCCTTGCTCGAGGCTCTGCTTGAAGCTCCTTGGCGCAGCACAGCGTCAGCGCAGCGCATCTCTGTGTACGTGCTTCGCTTCCTGAGCTGTTGGCCTGCAGATGTCACAGGAAAGCTTTGCCGAGGCAGAAGCAGAAAGCGATGACGAGATCTGCGAGGACAACATGGTAATTACGTCACAACACCTGGGAGCCACCACTGTACCCTGACGCCTGAGCGATACTCTTCGCCCGAAGGAGGAGCCCTCCTTCTCAACATGGCTTGATGGAAGGACCGGGTTGCAAGGAAATGTTGCTTAGGAACTTTTTATTTGCCCTTGCCCCCAGATCCACATGCCCTGATTTCTCGCTCACACGCGCTCTCGCGTGGGCACGCGTCTGCGTCGGGATTTCTCCTCTGCTCTCCAGGGCTCCACTCCTTCGCTTCGGCAAAGCGAGGGCCCAAGCCGCACTGGCATGGCATGGCATGGCGGCATAGCATGGCATGGCGGGTAGCTACGCTGCTTAAGCCGGCAGCACTTCTTAGACAGACACGGTAGGGCACCTTCAGACCCGCATCTCTGCCTGCAGTGGGAGCGCAAAGCCTGGGACTTTCCGCCGTCGCGAGAAGAGAAGACGGACGGGCCCGCTCTGATGTCGGGGGAGCTTCGGTCTTCGGGAAGGTTCTGTCCTCGTATGTGAGTTGCGCCTCCCTCATGATAACAGGCTGCAAGGAGGAGGTGCAAGGTGCTTCTTGGTGGGCAGGAGCTCCTGATCCTGCACCTCCTCTCGAGCTCGGAGCGGCCGGCCGACGACCCGGCCGAAAGGAGGGGTTTGCAGGGGGTGTCAGAGGATTTCAGCTGTATCTCTGCTTCACGCTTCGCATGGGGCCAGATTCGGCGAAAGAGACGGGATGTGCTCCTCTTCGCATCATGTGGTGGGCGCTGCCGTCCTATTCATGCATTCATAACGAAAGCCAGTGCAAGAAGGCCAATGCATGCAGCACTTAATACTTAAGAACAAAACAACCTCGATTTCATGCCTTGGTTTTGGCCTACCCTGAACCTTCCAATAATACAATTGAATCAGGAGTTGACTGCTTGTCAATCTTTTGATGCACAAAACACTTAAATCGCGACTTAACAGTCTCGCAGCCTACCAGCAGAATCTATAAACCTGTGCCAATACGCCACAGTTAATTGGATGGTTTGGCGAATTGCGGCAGACACCATGTATTTGCTTGCTACCAGATTGAGCATCAGTTGCCATTCAAGACTATCTTGATTGTTGTACTAGCCTGTACTGTCCTGCTTACTTACGACTAATTTACATTCAAATTGGGATTTTCAAATCGAACAGTTACATCAGGATTGAATTGGGGATCTTGGGTTGATTCAGGTAGAGATGATAGGATCCTGGAACTATGCTAATTCACGATCTGGGTTGCAATGATCTGTGCATTCAGAGTAGGTTTGTCACACGTCACGACGAAATCATGATTTAACTGGTGACAATGGGAGCCATGTTCAGTTATTTTGTAATGATCTCTTGAATGATTCAGCTGAAATTCGAGTAATCAGTTGTTTGTGAACGAGCTAGTCCAGTCCAGTTCAGTCTAGTCTCGTCTCGCCTAGTCGACGTTAGTCTAGTCTCACCACAACCAGTAAATCCCGATTTAGTAATGTATTGTCAGGCTTGGGGGGTCTCTAGGAGAACCAATAAAATCCTGATTTAAGCGTGCCGTTTGAGTAGAAGGTGCGGCATGGAGTAGAGCATCGCGCAACATTCAAGACCAATCAAATCATCAGTTAATTGTGCCGGGCCTATGGGGTCCAAGATGGCCCGTTGACGGACAATTGACTCCAGAGTCAAGTCCTTGAAACGCTTGGACTCGCTGCCTTCCGTCAGTGCATATTCTTCTCCGAAGTATGCTGCTAGTGAAAGTAGGCTCCTTGGCAGGAGACATTGAGACTCCTACATGTAGCACAAAGCCGCCCCATTCCCGGCCGGTGTTGTGGCCGTTAGCTTCGATGCGGACACCAGGTGTCGCCAGCTCGCCGGAGCCCTCGCTACTCTTACGCCTCTTCTGCACGTGGCTGAGTCTATGCACCTAGTGGAGCTGCAGAATCTCCTACTGGGCACTTTCAGACCAGACTTCTCAATCTGTGGACGCCTTAATTCACCGGCCTTTGAGACCAGCATGGCCGGTGGTCGAATTTGTCTGGGGTCGAAGGACCAGAAGAAAGTGCTCCTGGAGTTTCTGCTATAATCGTGTTTCAGTAGCCTATGATCAAAGTCGCCGACCCTGATTTTTTCTGTCAAGCTTAAGCTTGTGCATTTGTCCTGCATGCAAGCGGTCATGTGCTTGCAGAGCACGGAGAACCGAAATTAGCCGATCCTAACCTGGATCGTACCACAAGTCGCGTTCTGTGGCACTGTGGTCAAAAGCGGACAGAGATCGCGTCGTTCTCTGCCGGCGCATGTCCACAAAGACCCTTAGAATCCTCAACAGCTAGACTGAATGCCCAGCGGGCCACATCCCCGCAGACCCGTGCCAGGCATCCTTCATCCCAATCTCATCGCTGGTGCCAACGTTCTCATTCGATTCGACGGTGAGCCGCAATGGAGCTCCACATTGACATGTCTACTCGTGAGGTTCTGCGAGTGCATGTGTGAAGGGTGTAGGCCCACGCAGCGCAGCGATGTGCGCAATCACAAGGCTCCCAAGGTGTCTTAAGGAAGACACGGTGCGTTTGAAGGCTGCCGCCCCTAATGCCGGATGATACTGACAGTAGCTTGTTGGAGGCCACAGGCAGGTGGGAATGGGGGATGTTGGGATTTGTTCGGTGAGCATCTGTGACCATGTAACTTATGGAAAGCAGAAGGGATAGTCTGCATACGGAAGGAACACTTACAGCCAGCTACGGTTCTTGGGAGGCACCTCCACACAAAGCAGAAGCGCCATGGCTTATAAACCCGATAAGAAAAAGCGGCCAATGCTTGGAACGGTGTCCAAGTATGTGGTGCCCAGCAAGTGCACGACTTGTGGCTCCACTTAGATTAGGTACCCTTCTTCAACATTCTGGTTCCCACTGTGGAGACCACGCTGCAGCGAATTCTGGTTCCTTGACTGCTCTAAGCTTGAGCTAAGTGCTGCCGCTTCTCGATTTGGGTATGCGTGATGTTGGGAAACTGGCTTCTCTGCGCCGGCTCTGTGCACTGGTTCTTCCTGGCGACTGCAGTGAATTTGGTGTTGCATGTGGCATTCAAGACCCCTGCTGCGAGGTCGAGAACCTCATGGGCTCTGGGTACCATGTACTTTTTTCAGGCTGCAGAGAATCCGCTGCAGTTTCAATGTCTCGCCGATTTCAGGGTGATGATGTAGGCTCCTGGAGATGTGAGGGACAGCGGATCTGCGGCAGAGCCGAACAGCTGTGCTGCGTGTTCGACCCCTGAGTGGCGCAGGCGAGACCGGCGTCGGGAAGTCTGTGGGCATCCAGCAGTTCCTGGGGAGTGCTGGAGAGAGTTTTGCGGCACGGAGCCCAGGAGTCCCACCGCGCAAACCTTGGGCACGTCTGCAGCATCACCCGCAGGTAGCATCTGCAAACTTCTCTGCGCAGACGTCTTCAGCAAACGTCGTGGTCGCTTGGCATCAGCTGGTACAAAGAACACCAGAGTCATGATAGCTGCTTTGGGCTTCCGATGCTCCTCGAGCGCGTTACTTTCAGCCCGAGTCTGCGCACCGTGCAGCGAGCACGACGGAACCTGATGTTTGAATGGAGATCCCTGCTCTTGCGAAAAGTCGGAGAGGAAGAGGAAATCAAAAGCACTGAGGACTTCTTGGAGAACACTTTGGAGCCAGAGCCTTCCGGGGACGGACAGCTGTTCTCGTGTTCCCTCCGGGGCTCCGGTTGGGCCACACTTCAGCCTTTTGCAACAAGATCGGCTTTGGCAGTTGACTTTGGGACCGAAGTGGATGTCAGCAGCGATAGCTGTTGGTGCACTTACACAGTACAAGTAGGAAGCATTGTTGCTGAAACTATTCGATGTGGCATCACTCGGAAGGGCCACCACCCCAAGCTGTTAAAGCAGAGACTGGTAATAAGAATCGGGCCCCGCGCTTGCCGGCTTCACAGCGGCTTCTTGCAGGAACCGATTCTTGTTGCAACCCGTTGACACAAACACGCGGCAGCTGGGCAGACCGCGCCCACGGGCCCCGGGCCCCCAGGCGGAAGCGAAAGACACTCTTGGGTGCTCCGGCGGGCAAGGCCCCGTACTCTGAAGCCGAGGGAGGACTCAGCCCAGGATGTGTCGGTTTAGCGATTTAAGTCACTCCTTTCGGTGTGTACAATGGATTCGCTTAAACCGTTTGGTCCTCACTCCTGCGGCGACCGCGTGTTTGTTGCCAGACAATGTTGCTCTTCATTGACGACATCAACATGCCCATGCTGCTTGGCTGTGTTGGGCATCATATAGTGTCAGGTCGTGTTAGAGTCGTGTTCGTAACCCAGTCAGGCTGGAGAAGTACGGGGCGCAGCCGCCAATTGAACTCCTCCGGCAGGTCCAAGCTGCACCGGAGTCGTAGAGTCCTGGATTATCAGAGTCCTTTCGGCGCCGAGCCGTGCTGCCAGCGGCTGCCGGCCCGGTCTGTGAGATTCTGCTGGTGTCCGGACAGGCTTCCTCTTTGGGGCTCGGAGCTCAGAGAGAAAGTCGACCTGCGTCTGCAGGTCATTGACTACAAAGGCTTCTACGATCGCAAGAAGCTCTTCTGGAAGGCCCCGAGGGCTCCCAAAACCAAGGACGAAAAAAACATGCAATGGCATGACTGGAGTCCGGCTGTGTAGGCAAAAAACTCAACTAGGGATGGTCTTAACGCATGCGTCAGGGACAGCACATGGTTCGGTGTTGAAGTGATTGCGAAAGAAGTCTGGCTATGGGAGCAGAAATCTGCTTTAAGGTCGCATGATATTCGGCATGGTGGATCCACTTTGGAAGCTGGATGGATCCACGCATGTGGGATTTGCGGGAGCTTGTGCATGAAGCAATTCGGCACGGCTTAGGGAATCGTTGAAGGATTGCAGTACATACCAGACGGGCTTGCCAAAGTGTTTCTGGACCTACAGTGCGTAGTCGGGATCACTGCAGGGAATTCTGTCAGTAGTGGGGATTCTGAAGATCAGGCCTGTATAGTTGAGGTTTGGATCATGTAATAAGTTTGTTTAGTGCCATTCAGCAATTGTAGGAGAAGGATTTGCAGTTGTGCGTGAAAGAAGGACTGCGGAACTCGGAACGGTGTGTGCGGTATTGTTCTTTCGCTTTTGTTTGGGGAGTATAGACGATACTGCGGACCGGTGGTTGCAAGTGGAGAACCGAATAGTGAGAAGCAATGAGCCTGTCTGGATGACGTTGGACTGCGAACTTGGATGGCAAAAACCTGGGCAGCTGGATCTGTGCAGTTACCCTGGTACAGTAGATGCATAAGCATACACACATATGTATGTAATGTAATGTAATGTAATGTAATGTAATGTAAGGTAAGTATGTATGTATGTATGTATGTATGTATGTATGTATGTATGTATGTGTGTATATATATATTCATATATGTATATAGAGTATGTATGTATCTACATATATGTATACATATACCAAAACCGATACACAAAATATAGATATATGTGAGGGTGTGAGAGAGGTAAGGAGCAGAGGAAGAGATAAAGGAAGCCTTCGGAGAAGTGTGAAATGCTGTGAAGGGTTTGAGCGTAAAACCCGCGCTCAGGGCGTGCAAGAAACTCAACTCATCGCCGCCTGTGGTCCTCCCGGGGGTGGCCGCATGGAGGCCACCTTTGTCTTGTTCTCCTAGAGTCTAGAGTTGCAAGGACAGCCTCCTGAAGTGCCGCAAATTTCAAGTCTGGTATCGCCGAAAGATCGAATCAGCTTGTCCGACTATGTACATGCTTCAATGATGCAGCTGCCAATCCATACTGGGTCCATTCACGAAGCCCAGGGACCTAGTCTGCTCAATGAAGGGACATTGGTATTGGTGTCAGCACATCTCTACTTGGTAAAACCGCTTCTTGGTCTTGCGGCAATTAGCGTCGCAAGCGAATCCGTGCACGAATAGAGGTATCATTGAAAGCTCTCAAGTTGCTGATGGCTGATTCCAGGTGACGCCGCGCTTGCTGCGTCATTTCAACATGCTTCGCCCCAAGTGTTCTGGACACAGCTTTCACCTTAAGCGTAAAGGTTACACTCATGCAGGCGCTGTAAGCATCCTGCGGTTTCTTGTGCTGTGATAGTTTCGACTATCAGGGCTTGGATGTGGCAGAGCCACTCGGCTGCTCAGGATCTGGATGACAGCACTGCAACAGGACTCGCTTGCTGGTGCAGAGTTCTATGCCACCTGGCGCACCCCTGTGCACCCCTCCACCGAGACCCACCAAGACTGCGACGGGGCGCACGAAAGGGGACCACAACGACAAAACCACCTTGGCCACACGACGATGGCGAAGGTCATGTGCAATTACCGCCACCGTGAACAACGTCCATCGGCAAATGGCGGAAACACAACAATGTTTAGACGTCGTGCGAACAGCCACAGCAGTGCATTAGTATGCAGCAGCAACAGCACCATCTGAGCCTGTCCTGATTTTCGTTTGTCGGGCCTGCCACGTGGTCGAAGCTGCCAGACAGAACCCTTGCAGAGACGCGTGCAGGCATGTGCAGGCTTTCTGACGTAGCAGCAGCAGGGTTCTTGTCCAGCCCTCGCAGGAAACCATGCGCCCGAGTCTTAGCCTTCGCAAGGATTTCATGCCCACTCCAAGTGTAGATAATATAGCATAAAATAGCCAATGAAGAAGGTCCACTTGAGCGAAAATGCCAGGAGGAAGGGCGAGTCATCGCTAATCATGCTAAGCCTATTGAACCCCTTTGCTCCAAAATCAAGCACCTCTCACGCCAGACCGCATTCTGAGCTCCATCCTTGGTGGTTGGCTTGGGGTCGTCCCCTCAGTTGACTCGGTGGATCGGCGATTAAAGCCTTTTACAGGTTATGACTGAGAGTTGCAGAAGGAGGAGCGCGCACACCACAGCGATAGTGATGGTCTTGGCTACGGTGTGCTGAAGGGTTGTCCTGCCAGGAAACTTCGACCCAAGTTGTGTTTCTCGATCGGTGACCTGTGATGCGTTGAAGTTTGCCTCAAAACTACGATTTATGGCAACGTGGCTGTGAGCTTGCTCGTTCGAGTTCTCTCGTCTCTCTCTTTTCCTTCTCTTGCCCTCTCGCTCAGCAATGAGATCCTGTGTAATTGCGCAACCCAGCAGTAGATGACCTCAAGCCTTAAGCTAGCCTTTTGGATGTCAAGAGCTGAGGTGAAGAAGCCAGCCTTGCAGGTGCGATGCAGTATCGCTGGAAGTTTCATTGGCTTGAGCTGTCATGTGAAGTGCGATCCGGGCAGTCCACCGGTCAAGGACCACGCAAGTAACAAAAAGTAAAGCATGCAGCAGCTTGCAGGAGCTTGCCAGTGATATTGTCGCTGCCAGTGTCGTGGCCTTAACAGTACTTTGCATTGAAGGACACGACAGTGACGCAGATGCCACTCCAAGGTTGAGATGTTCTTCAGAATTATTTCCGACCTTTTGCCAACTCCGCTAAAGTGTCGAGTTCTCAGTCTTGGGTTCCAACGGAACATGTGAGCCTCCTGGGGGTCGCTGTCGTGAGGTCACTACACCTTCAACCTGTGCTCCGGCCGCAAGTGCCAAGAGTCACCGCTTTGAACCTTAGATCTCAAGCTCTGTGTTTCTGCGACAGCCAACAGACCAGCGATGGAAATCAAGTCCATTGAACAAGCTGGGAACTGATGTGCCTAATCTCGGGTGTACTCCTGTTCTTGTGTACTGCACGACCTGACCTCGTCTTGCTCGGAACATGGCGTGAAGCCGAAACTTCACACTCATAGATTCGATATTGAATGCAAAGCTGGTCTACCTTCACTACCTTCAGAGTGTTTTCGGCACACAGCAGCACAGTCGAACCATCACTGCACAAAGCATGGCTCGTTTCTGCAGGCATTACATACATTATATATGCTTATACAGATGTATTTGTATGTACTGTGTATATTACACATATATCTACATGTGTGTATACATATGTACATACATACATACATACATTGTGTAAACTGTATGTATATGTTGTATGTATATATATACACACATATATTGTGTGTTTGTGTGTAGGCACGTGTGTATTTGGAGTAAATGCTGGAAGCCTTGCAAATCACGGTGCTGCGTGCTGTCCTCGATTTCGTTGTGCAAAGAGCTCCAGTTTGCTAGTGACTTGTGTTCCTTTTCTGAGGGCCACCAGTCTAGAATTCAACATGGTTTGGGTCCTTGCAGTCGCGGCTCGGATGCTCAAGGGCCTCAAGGGCCCTGCATGCTTGCTTCATGTTTTACTGGAATTTCGGGTGGTGCTTGTTGCATGCGTGTTGCTTGGAATGAGCTTCTTGGTTAGTTGTTTCATTTTGGCGCTCGTTCCTTGTTGCTCATTTGGGTGACCTGTCACCCTGCGACGAGGTCATTCGTCGAAGACGCCGAGAAGCCGTATTACTCAACCAGAATCAAACCTTCTGCATGTAATGACGACTTCAGATTATGGAAGGCCACCTACACTTAATGCATGACCGGAAAATTCAACCGTGTCCGTCGGATTCGGGGGGCAGTCTGCGTGACATGATTCCCGAGTGGTGTGGATTTGCGGCCAGCTTTTGTTGTCACGCAAAAAGCCTCCTCGTCTTCTTGAAAAAAAACTTTCAAAGGGACGAAAACTCCTATAGGCACTAGACTGAGTCTGTCTTCTGCGTCGGCTTGCAGGCGTGATCCGGCCAAGATGCTGCAGGCTGGCCCGGGTCCTCGCGGGCAGAGGCTAGAATCCAGGATTCGCCGAAGCTTCGAGCCGGTTCTGTAGTAAGGTTCTGAACGGGAGCCCTGCTGCACAGGCAGACTTGTAGCTGAAACACCTTCATGGGCAATCCAACCCCCAAGCTTTGCCCTCCTCCTCCGTCGGGGACTTCGCCGTCCCGGTGGGACATCCGGAGCTAAGTGCTTTGCGTCCTGGCTATCCTTACTGAATGCTTGTGCCTCGCTAGCGGCGCTGCCAGGGGATGCTCATGGTCTATGTCAGAACAGAGCTCTCGGACGATGACAGCTTGATCAGGTGGCCGTGACAAAGCGAGACCCAGCACATGTCCAAGCATTACCTACCCGCAGCAGCCTGCAAGGCTTTGGGTGCACGAGACTTGCCGCCAATTCCGAGATCGACTTGTCAACAAGGAGGACTAGCGTTAGTCCAACTGCCCACAGTCTACAGTCTTCCAGAGACCATGCCCGCAGCCTAGTCGTCGTCGACGACCACGATTTCTACGAGTTGCATTAACGAATTCCTTCAATGTTGCTGTGACATCGCAAAGCCCGAATGTTTCATGACCAACAACCTGTTGTCTGCCAAGTTCCATGGGGAGATGCTAGCTGCTGGCCAGCTGTCAGGACAGGACGTGGTTTAACGACTGTCTTCATGCCGCGTGGCAGCAGTGTTGCACCGCAACTGCATTGCACGTTTGGTTCTTTGACACTAAGGAGAACCTGGAGAAGCACCTCCAGAGAACCTGGCCGATCGAAAGGCGCCAGATCGAGGGCGGAGTCGTCACTGATTTCGTCGGTGGTGCGGCTCCGTTTTACAAAGGTTTCAGCGCTCCCATTGCAGAGATCCGACAAACTCGTGGCATGCTCGGGCTGGAGTATGGGCTCAAAGCTATGCCCAGTCGTTTCGGACCAGTCCTGGAAACACCAATCAGGGCCCAGGAGCAAGGGATTAAGCTTGTCTAAGCTTTGCCTGCCATGGCGCATGGCGGCTCTGAATCTCTCTGACGAAGAGGCCATTGCACTCCGTCGCAGCGGCGCTTCGGCTGCCTTGCGGGCTTTCTCAAGGCTTCCAATAAAGGATTTTTCCCACGGGGACCGAGACCGAGACCCAGGCTGGCCCGTGGAGCTCCTGTCCTGCCGCGCACCAAAGGCCGCCCCACGAGATCCGACAGCCCAGCCTAATCCGTGATCCATTTGCCCTGTAGACGGAGGCCGTTGTGGACGTCAAAGCCTTTCGACGTGAACTGCTCTCAGGCTTAGCTTTCGAAATACTTTGGATTAATCGCGTTATGTGTCTCGGTTGGTCGATGTTGCGACTTACGATTCCACTCAGATCCGCGCATCTCCAGGCAACCATCTTGAGCAAGCGGTCCTCTTTCCCCACGGCCTTCAGCGGCTGCCTGGCCAGCAAAATTCCCAGGGCAGTTTTGGCTTCGGAGCGGTGTCTTTGTTTTTGTTCCGTCGTCGCCGTCGTCGTTGTTGCTGTTGCTGTTCTTGCTGTTCTTTCTGTTGTTGCCGTTGTTGCTGCTGCTGCAGCTGCTGGTGCTGTTGTTGCTGTTGTTGTTGTTGTTGCTGTTGCTGTTGCTGTTGCTGTTGCTGTTGCCGTTGCTGTTGCTGTTGCTGTTGCTGCTGTTGCTGTTGCGTTTGCCGTTGCTGCTGTTGCTTGGGTTGCTGCTGTTGCTGCTGTCGCTGCTGTCGTTGTGGTTGAGGTTGAGGTTGAGGTTGTGGTTGTTGTATTTTGTTGTCGTTGTTGTTGTCGTTGTTGTTGTCGTCGTCGTTGTTGTTGTTCTCCTTGTTGTTATCATTCTTGTCATTGTTATTTTTTCTTGTGCTCATGCTTGTGCGTGTTCTTGTTATTATTCTTATTCGTGGTCTTGGTCTTGTTCGTGTTATTGTGGTTTTTGCAGCTGCTGTTGTTGGTGATGCCGTTGCTGCTACTGCTGCTGTCCATTATTGTTACTACTATTTTTGTTACTACTGTTATTCTTGTTTGAATTCTTATTCTTATTATTATGATGATGATGATCTATATTGGTATTATTATTGCCATTATTGTTGTTGATATTATTATTGTTATTATTATTAGCAGTAGTGGTAGCATTGGTGGTAGTAGTGCTAACATTGGTGGTAGTAGTGGTAGGTGGTAGTAGTAGTAGTAGTAGTAGTAGTAGTAGTAGTATGAAGTTGTTGTTGTTGTTGTTGTGCACGGGTCTAGAGTTGGGATGCGGAGATGGTGCATGGGTGGGGTCGCGGCGAGAGGATGCATGTCCGATCATGTGGCGGCACATTCTGCGTCTGTGTTGCCGGACTTTGTGCAGAAGTGGTTACGAGCCGTGACTTTCAAGCTGGTGCTTTTTCTTGCAGCTCTTTCCAAACCTTCTGGTTAATGCTGGATACTCGCAGTGGCCTCAAGAGGACGTGCAGCACAGCATGAGGTATTTGTCAATGTATATGATTTGTTACTTGCAGCGCTTGGTGCATCTGGGGCTTCGCCCTCAGCCCCGGAAAGTGATCCCATGGCTATCCGATTTTTAATTTTTGCTTCAAGAGATGGACCCAGTGAACATTGACAAGAAAGATTCGTGTCTTTGTTGAAGACACTCGTTGTGAGAGCAGGGGAAAGGGAACAAGTGATCACATCTTCTGGTTAGAAATGCTTGGCGCTGGGGCAGGGAAGAGAGGGAGGCCAGAGTCTAGTCCACGTGGCCTACAGGTTTGTCCGTCAAGACGCCGCGTGAAGATTGGCCTGCAAACCCAGCAAACCATTGAATGGACATGGTACAGGTGTAGGTGTTTCTGCGTGCATCTGTGTCTGTCTATCCTTGTCATTGTCTGCCGCTCGCCCACCCGTCTGCCTGCATGAATGGATGCATGGATGCATGTCAATGTACGTATGTATGCATGTATGTATGCATGTCATCTCATGTCATGTATGTAATCCCTGTAGTCTGTGATGTTACTGTAATGTAATGGAATGACCCGCAGTGCATTTTTAGGTCAATTTAGTGTGCAGTGTCGTGGACGGGTGTGCTCTCTGCACTGCAATCGCTTCCAGGCTTGGCCTGGAGGACTCTCTGCCGTCCCGGTGTTTCGGCGGGTGTAGACGGCATCGACCCGAAGTCTCGGAGTCCCTCCCTGGCCTTCGAGGTTGAAGCCGGCTTTGGCAAGCAGCAAGGACGTGCTGAATCTGCTGCCTGGCGCTAGATTCCATTCTGCTCTCCTGATTCTCTCTGTCAGCAGAGCTTTCTGGCTTCAGTGTATAGAGGATCTTAAAATCTCAGTATTGCATCATTCAAGCACAGTCTGCTAGCTGTAGATGGCCGTCCAGAATGCCGGCCGGTCCGTTTGGGCACCCGCACGAACTCTGGACAGGCTAGCCCATCTCGGAGATGAGCTTGACGATTTTCAGGGCAATCTGGAAGGTGCCTCAGGGGCGACTTGTTCTTAGCCCCCTGTTGAAGCAGCCTGCGCAAGGGTGGACGCACGAGCGCAGAAAGAATCTCACACCGGAGTTCAAGAGGGTCCATGTAAGTGCGCAAGACTTGGTGTGTGCGCAAGAAATGCTCAAGTGCATGCAGAGGTGTGGGCAAGAAATATTATAAGGCCGGCTCAATACTTTCAGTCTACCGCCACCCTCCTGCCTGGCTCTGCTCGGCTCTTTAGGTGTAGACTTGCGAACCCGTCTTCAACAAGATGTTCTGCGGATGGCGGAAGATCAGCAACTTCTAGGAATGACTGAGGCAGGAAATTGGGGTGCCTCTTTGCTTGAGTGTCAGTTCCTCATGCCGTACGATTATGTTGCTGGGGCGAGTGTCTTGCCACGGGCAAAATGTGTTCTCTGCCCATTCGACCAAAGTCTCCGTAAAATCACTGAGCAAGCAGCAGCAAGTGATACTCGCAGACTGAGACGCCACCCAGGTTTGCCGGTCGGGTCTTTTTCGCTACGAGTTGTCTGTTTGTTCGCTGCTGACTTTTCGCCAGGCCGAAAGACTTGCCCGCGAATGGTGGCAGGCTGATGACCAGGCAGTCAGATAGTGATGTGACGGTGATGTGTATCGCTGGGAGTCGAGAGACGCTTGATACGTGGCAGCAGCGGTTCATTGTCAAGTCGGCTTCCAGGCCTTTGAAAGCAACACCTTGCCGTCGACAGAGCTGGAGACGCTTGGACGATGAGAGAAATGTTGGGGGGGGCGGTTTCTGGGCCGGATGCCTGCATGGCCCGGCCCGGTTCGCCCGGTCCGCAGACCTCGACTATCCCTAAAGAGCAGTTTGCGCATCTCGGAACCCTGAGTAGGCCCAATGTAGGCAGTGACAAGAGTGCAGTTTCTTAAGTCCGATGGGGGGGGGGGGGCAAGTGGTGGCAAGGGCAAGAATCCTGGCGCACGTCGACAGCAAGCCGCGAGCCCTGAAGCCTCAAAGAATCAAGCTCACAGCG